CATTGACATTACACCCTAACTTTCAGCAAGCTTTTCACACTAAATCAGCTGTCTCTGCCTGGTACAAAGCCAAAGCACAGATGCAGCTTCATCCTCTGCTGCCCTGCCTCCACATATAAAAAATCACTGTGTAAACTAAATGTAGTGGAGTAACAAGACCATTATTGCAAAGGTAGAGTTTTAAAGGCTGCTAATGGCTCTATTTTGTTCTGGAGGTGTGGTTACAGTATTTGCGCAGAATTCGCTTGGCCTGAGGTGGTGGGGCCCAATGTGATAACTTTTCATGGGGCCCAAAATCCCTCATGGCGCCTCTGCTAATATGAGTCTAATGGCCAAAGTACATGGGGCACGGTCACATTGTGTCACTTAGATGCCATCTTTGCAGCGTGTGGTGGCTGCCAGCTTCACTGTGTGTGTAATGAATTCTGCTTAGTAAGAATGCAATTGTTTATGCAGGATTTGGAGGTGTAATTAACTGGATCATTTTAACCATAGGATGCATCGATATGATTGATTTATTTTAATGTGAAATGTAAAAACACAAGACAAGGTTGCTCTGCTGCTTTGCACTGCCTCTGGTACAATGAAATATTCATTGTTATCATTTTTTAAACAGATTGTTCTTATTTTTTGTTAACACATTTCTTTGCAGGTTTTACCTGTTAGAGGGCTGAACATTCGTGTAAAAATAACATTGAGTAGCGCAGGCTTCCGTGGTCAGTGTAGCAGTTTAAGTTGCGTGTTGCGCTGTGACCACAAGTTTGGTTTCATAACATCACAACTAGTTTGGCCAATCACTATCCAGTATTGTAACTAGAAGCCTACAGCGCACATATACTGACGATGGTGATGATTTTAAGAACCTTTAAGTTTAAATCCCACATATTTGCACACCAACAAATGCAAACCATCAAGTAAAAATTACCATTTGATTTAATGCATTGATGTGTCCTAAAGCTGTATCATTCAACACTATCACTAAAGAGATGCTGTTTACAAACCAGGTAAATATGAAAACATCCAAATGTGTGCAGTGTAAATAGCATCTACAGCAATTAAAGCAGGTCAACACAACTTGAACACAACACCGACAAAGCAAAATAATCCAGTTTAACTGTGCCCAACATGTAGTTAAGCACATAGAGTGGAAAAACAAACAAAAGATGCACGACTTCTGCCCCATTTGGAGCTGTTTAGCACTTGAAACAATTCAGTACTGGAGTCAGGGGGGTGCATCTCACCAGCTAATACTTCTATCTGAATGAAGCAGGTAGAGATGTTTGACGATGACACGGTGTGCATCCGCTGGTGCAGTAAAACCCCAACTGTGACACGCGTGAAGTGATCCAGTCAGGCTTGAAACGAGGACACAGGTCAACGTGTGAGAAGAGTGACTGCTGCAAAGTGGACATGACAGCAGTTTAGCCCACTCAGGGTAATGGGAATATCAGCCCTTTTGTGAAATGCAGGTCAGTGAGTATGAGTCACTAATAATTAGACACACATCATGAATATATATATTGTCTTTTAGTCACTCATAATTCCAAATACTAGGCACTTTTTTGTATTAATCCTTGATGTGGAGCTACATTATCTTGCTTGTGGTCTCATCTGTCAAAATGTGATTAAAAATTAATAACAGCTGACAGGAAAAAAGAATATTGGAATATTAAGGGAATTTAATACAGGTAGCAAGCGCCATACTGAGCCCTTTACTTTTTCATATCATCCCACACCATTCAATAAAAACACAGTTTATTATTTTACTTTATCATGATCGTATTAGGGGGCTTTTCTGTGGAAGTCCTTTCTACATTCACTGACATGTGACATTTCTTCCAACTTCAGTTTCCAGCGAAAACAAAAACAGTGTTTCATCTCCTAACGGGGAGCCCCTTGCTGTATTACTCCTCGCCAACTTTGTCATTTACCTTCAGCACCGACAAATGAAATAAATACAGCAGATGAAAATAGACGAAGCGTCAGATAGACGGGCAAATAAATGAGAGTTGCCGTGCCGTCTTATGCTGCTGCAGTTAGTCATCTATTTTGCATCTTTCCAGAGCTGTCAGTCAGCTTTTTCACAACTCTCCTCCTTCACAACAACACTTGGCAGCTCGCTGTCCAGCCTCAGCCAAACTGTTTGTGTTTCAGAGATTGTACTCCACGTGACGGATGCAGCTTCCCTCTTCTCGTAAGAGGAGAGAGAAAGAGATTGAATGTCGGAGGGTTGACGCTCTTTTCGGTGGCTGCAAACCTTTTGAAATTAGAGGGAAGTCGGTGTTTATATGTGTGTGTGTACATGTGCCGATCTAAGAGTGCTTGGGGATGTGTTTGAGCTGTGAGTGAGAGACACTGGTCGAGGATGGATGAGGCTAATCTCCGCATCTTCATCTCTGAATGTGGAGGAAATATTCTTAACATGTTTCTGCTTTGTCAGCCTCCTCGTTATCTGCTCAACCTGAATTTGTTACTTGTAGACTGCAGAAGCATCATCGTATGGTGTTTCCGTAGCTTGATATTACAGTCACATAATAACCAACTCCAGTTTATGGATTTTGAAAATGTTGACAGTTATTTGAGTGCTGAATAAATCTGGCAGAGCCTATTAAAAGTTACTGAACAGTATCAGGATGTGCTGGTTCTTATCTCTCATCACCCTATCCATAATGAGTAGATCATTAATGAAGAGAATAATGTGCTGTGGCAACATTATGAAAACAAACTTGAAATATACTGTATAATTTTAAAACAATGTGGCCATCAGTCAGTGAATGAAGCTGTTTTCACTGTTTGCTGAATTCATGCAAGGGCACTGGGTTTTCTTCTGAATAAAGCAGAGAGCAGATTCACTCCGGCTCACTGGAGCTTATCTTCAGATGGCCTTGAACAGAAAGCCTGTGTTTTAGAACATTTCGGGACAAAAGCCGTTGATTTCTTTGTCGCGCGTAATGACAGACTCACACTGTTAGCACATACTGTCAATCACCGCATAAACATATACATGCATGCTCAGACACAACTCCTAAAAACATGCCCCACTATGCTTATGATGAATATCCAAATATACGTTTATGCACACAAGCGCTAAAAAAAAAAAATCAGATGCACAACTGAGAATACATCAGTGCTGTGACATAGAGCGCAACAGAAGTGCAGCTGTAATTATCATCTATCTATCTGAGCAAAGTAATCTGCATTTCAAGTACTGTCAGGTTTTCCTCCAAATTCATTCACGGGTAAATGGGAAAGAGTGTATAATTGCATCATAACGCAGAGGAAGACAATTTTATTGTCTTGAAAGACTCAAATCACAGGTATAAAGAAGCACACACTCATCATTGGTCCACGGCGAAGCAATTTGTTCTGGAATAGCTGTGAAACCATTTGTATTTGGAATTTATTTTGCAGCCAGTGTCGCATAATGAACTGTGCCTGACTCTCCTCAGCGAAGAGCTTTATTGAAGTGTTTGGTAAACTTCACTTTAGGAAGTAATTTTCCTGCACCGACCCTGAAAATCAATTTGAAAACCTTTGCTAACAGGCCAGAGATGCTGTTTTTAACACTAGCTCTGGCACTGTTAACAGTGAGCTGGGAACGCAAACAAAAGCTTTGCCTCCTGCAAATTGTGTGCAAGAAAAACACTAAGTAAACATAATTTGCAGTTGAAGAAATAAAACTTATAAACACAGTGTTTTTCAATAATCTAAAGGGCTCTTTGTGTCAGTGTGCTTTATAAATAGTCGTTTTTTTATACAATGCAACCATCACACCAGGCAAAGAGCACCTATGTGACTCAGTCTGGTTATGGGGTGGCTAGTGCCCACACCTTGAATGGAGTAGTGAAACAATAGTCATCATGTGCCTCTGCACTGCTACTACACATTTATACTGTATTAGGTGCTCAATATTGTAGTGATGATAAGACCACGATTTCCACAGGATTTCGCATCTGATGCAACCTGGGGCTTTTTATAAAAGGTTATGACATTGTACCAGTGGGTGTTAGCGATGGTCCAACTATAAAAACGCATTTTTGACTCCATATAGAACCCTACTTGTCAAGAAGGGTCTTTGAAAGCTTCCATGGTAAATTATATTAGCTGCCACTTTGCCATCTGTTGGGGTTAAGTGAGCTGAAATCTCTTATCTGATTCAGTTGTCATGTAGCCTCGCCACCTGGCTCACCCACCTACCTAACCCCGGCCCCACTCTGGGAATCCAGCAGTCTCAGTAGAGACCTGATCAGTCAGAGTTTGGCTGCCTCTGCTACATCGCCACATTAAGTAAAACTACTGTACTTCTTGTTGTTTCTATAGCAACAGTTCCCACTCATGTCTTCAGGATACTGTGCAATGCGGAGAGTGAAGGAGACTGCAATGACAGTCATACCTGAGCATTTTGATTTAATCGTAGTGGCTGTTGGTGAAGTAAGGGTTGACCAATATATTATGCTCCCGATATACGAAGAGTGATATTTTTGGACTGAAGATTGAAGCAGCCAAAATATTACTTTAAATTTAAGTTTATTCATGGAAATAATTACAACAAAAAAAAGGTTGTCTACCAAATTTGAATTGTACTGAGTTTGAAAAGCCTCAAAAACCAACATTTAGACTGTGACGTTATGATAGAAAGAACTCATGGTAATCAAATTAATAAGCAAGCCAGTGGGATATGCTGGACTGGCCCTAACTTAAGGAGCAGAAATCCCACTGGTGAATGCTAAATTGACCAATAAGAACCACAGATCAAGACCCAAAAAGAATTCAGAGAATTTGAATTCGACCAGGCGTGCAAACATTAACCTCTGAGAGACCATTCACTACATCTGCAGTGATTCCTACTGTTGAGTAGGTGTACTCATCCTTGGCTGTATCTCTACTTTGATGCCTCTAAGTATGCCTTTTCTCTCTCTTAAAACTCCCCTCCTGATTTCTTTCTCTCTCTATATATCTTTCTCACAATTTCTTCCTTTTGTTTCCTCTCTCTCTCCCAGGTGTTGCTGAGTGACTGAGGGGATGTGATGGCACAGCTAGCAGGCTGGACAGATCCGAGCAGACTGCCTGCTGCACACTGAACCATCTGGATGCAACACGTTAGAGCCTAGACAGGTAGGACAGGATTGCTAGATTTTTACCTTTAAGGTTCAGCAGACTTTTGTGTGCAAAGATTTTTAAAGCATTGCCGACAATTTAATGTTTCAAGACCTTGGAGAAAGTCTTTATAGTCCATTATCTGTAGAAGCACATTTGGAATGAAAGCATTCTTTTCATCCACTTTGGCATGTTTTATGTATGAAGTGCAAAAAAAGCAAAATCATCAGCTGTCAGTGTTTGGAAGAATTAGAGAGAGTGGAACAGTACAATACATGCAATTATTTTATAGTGCTAAAATGCTGACTGATTGACTAAATTCCATACCAGATTATGACCAGATTGAAAAACAACAATATACACAGCTGTCAAAAAAAAGAAATGATGTCTTCTGAAAAGGATTTTTTGAAAATACAGTCTCCCTAAGCTCCTTTTATGTCTAATGCACAACTCCCTTTCCATTCTGCTTGCAGAATGGATTTTCCCAATTTCACTGAAGGGGTGTTTGCCACAAACAGCAGTGGTAATGACACACTGGAGACCACTAAACCCCCTCCCAGTAAGATCCTGCTTACGCTGACCCTGTCTGTACTGGCTATCCTGACTACATTCTTCAACTGCCTGGTGATCACAGCTATCGGAGTCACGCGCAAGTTGCACCACCCAGCCAACTACCTCATCTGCTCCTTAGCAGTGACTGACCTGCTGGTGGCTGTGCTGGTCATGCCCTTCAGTATAATGTACATCCAGAAAGAGTACTGGGGCATGGGTCAGGTGGTGTGTACCATCTGGTTAAGTGTGGATATCACCTGTTGCACCTGCTCCATCCTGCACCTCGCTGCAATCGCCATCGACCGTTACAGGGCCATTACTGATGCAGTGGAGTACTCTCGCAAACGCACAGGGGCGAGGGCTGGGGCGATGGTGGCAGTGGTGTGGCTCTTGTCTATCCTCATTTCACTTCCTCCTCTAATCTGGCGGCACTACAGCGGGGATGCAGAGCAGGTAGACCAGTGCATCATGATGCACCATCACATTGCCTTCACCTTGTACTCCACCCTTGGAGCATTCTACATCCCCCTGATGCTCATCCTCATCCTCTACTACAAAATCTACCGGGCTGCTCAGACCCTGTATATGCGCAGGGAGGCCAGCCGGGCAAGCCGTCACTCATGCATGACCAATGGGAGCATGATCCCGTCCTACCCTGCTGGAGAAGGCGACGACGATGGGGGACCGAGAAGTCCGGTGCCCATAAGCCCACCAGAAAAGTCTGTCTCTGAACCCTCAAATGAGGAGCCCCCACGTGAACGGGTGCGTGCATCAGTGAAGGCCTTCCGGAGCAAGACGCGCCGGCATGAGTCACGTAGTGAGTCACGACGGAGCCAGTTTTACCAAGGACCACGGATCTCAGGCTCCCGGGAGCGCAAAGCTGCATCAACGCTGGGATTGATAATAGGGGCCTTTGTCATCTGTTGGTTGCCATTTTTTGTCAAGGAGGTGATCGTCAACACCTGCGATGCTTGCAGTACCTCAATGGAGATGGCTGATTTTCTGACATGGCTGGGCTACATCAACTCGCTAATCAACCCCCTTATCTACACCATCTTTAATGAAGACTTCAAAAAAGCGTTTCAAAGACTTGTTAGGTGCAGCCATTACCTCTGATGGTTACAATTGTGCATGATCATACCCATTATGCCACCACATGTACACATGTATCCAGGTGGGGACAGACTAAAAGATGGCCATCAGAGAATACTGACTGAATACTGATGCAATGTGCCTGAGAGACAATCAGGTTTGACACCCATTCCCAGATGCTCCACCAGGCACTCCAACAGCCTCAGTGGCACCAGCTCAGCGATGAGGTTTGCAGCAAAGTTCCACATTGAAGTACACGTCTTGCTATTAATAGAACAACCTGAGATTTCCTTGATGTTAACTGGTATGTTTGAAAGGACATTGACATGTTGGTTTTTAGAAAATGGGCCATCGCTGACCTTTCTGAGGTCTGGGTTTTGAGCATTAGTCCCCATTAAAGGGCCTTAAAATAGCTGACCATTATGGCTTTCCCATCTAATGACCTCCGGTCTATCTAGTCCAAGCTGCTGGCTGAAATACAGAACATGTGTAATATACCACAGCATACCAAGTTGTGATTTCCCATGGTCATGATGTTATAAAGGGTCACTTTTACCTGATTGACTGTCACAGTGATTGTTAACAAACATTGTTGTTGAATGTGATATGTATTCAGCAAAACACTTCAACAAATATGAAATAAAAATTTGCAGATTATTGAAGTGTCTTGTCAGGTAATGGTAATGACACTGGCTTAAATCATCTGTCCATCTGAAAGCGAAAAGTTGTTACCTGCCTTTCGTCAACGTCTCAACACTGAACATAACATGCCATCTTTTAAATGTTTAGGATGAGCAGCTAAGAATATGAAGAAAATGTTTTATGATCTAGGACCAAATCATACCATTAATAAAACATTATGAATTATATTTAAAAAAAAAATACTTGGGGACCAATATAAAAACTGAGCTTGTCTCCACTTTCACTTCAGAAGGTTATCATGTGGAGAGGGCTTGAGATATTGGGGTTACAGGTTCTATAGGACACTACCACTTTAATTGATGTATTGCACAACATGTTATGTTTCTTTAAGTCGGGGATACTCAACTTGTTCTGCCGAGGGGGCCACGTTTGCAAAATGATGGGAATGAATCACATTAATCAGTATAATCAATGAACTGCCTGTTTCCAATTTTTCAGCGTTTGTTGTCCTGACTTATCTTTGCCAAGAGGCGAATCCAGTCTCAGCAGGTCGAGTGTACGCAGGGACGTTTCAAGGATTTGAGGACATTCGGAGCTCAGCCCAGATCTTTGCCAGGGGAGCACCCCCGGGTCCTGGCACGTTTTTTTTTATTAACAAGCTCTATTTGGATGCTTTTTTAATGCACTCTGGCACCTTATTAGCATTCAAAGTACAAAGAAAAAAAAATAACATTCCTTGTGTGAATCCATTTATTTTTATTGTGAATAAGAAAACAGTCGATGGACCATCTGGTGGGCCATAAGTTGAGTATCACTGCTTTAAGTTATTTTGTGGGGTATTTATTTATTTATTATTTATTTATTTATCTATCCTGGAGCCATTGCACACCCCATCCCATCTGACTCCCCCACCACACAGCCATAGGTCAATGAATGTGAGAGCCACCAGTGCAGAAATCCTCATTACATTAATCCCACTCAAGTACTTGGAATAGAACTACTATTTCTTTACTGCCTCCAAGAGGGCACACGATATGTTGATGGAAATATTGTGGATGAGTCATGTGTGAGGGTGTACTGTATGCCAGAGAGATAATACAAAGTGTGTCATACACGCACATACATCTCTGACAGTATGACCGGTATTTGTATATTGTTTCTTTCTTTGTCTCTCACTGTCTCAATAATCAATAATAAACAGTCCACATATGAATGATGCTCTCCTGTTTTTTTGTTGTTGTTGTTTTTTCCTGTGTTAATCATACTTTTCGGAGTGAAGATTTGGTATGTGTGACATAAGTGCAGTATGTGTATGGAGAGAGTGATAGCAGGAATAACATAAATAATAACTCACTGATAATCTTTATGCGTAAATGAATGTTGATGATTTAGCCTACTGCAACCCCATATTTCAGTCTGCCTGCTGCTCATGTGAACAGACGATGTTTTCCGTATACTAATGTGATGGCGCCCCTTTGTGGCTGGCAGTAAGACTGCAGACTTTCCAGTGGGCTGCTACAAACTGCATCACTCTTTTACAGCTTCTAGAGATTAATGAATCTGGAAATATGGTATTGTTCATTTGGCCTTATCAATCAAATAGATATAAGTGAGAATTAAAGTAATCCATTTTTTTTAAAACATTCTGTCTTATCAAACTTATTATTCAAATTGTATTGTCAATTTTAAAAATGACGGAAGAAAAATACCACATTTGTATACAACATTTCTCACAAGTTTGGAATTCCCTGTTCCAGGTCCACAAACTGTTATTGTGGAGTTGCTGCAGGCTGGAAAGTGCTTCCTGTGATGCACATGATACAGTCAGCTTCTTCTGTGTTACCTTTAGGTCAGTAGTTTCACTAAGTGACGCTTTAAAATTAGAGGTCCGCGCAATACCTTCTTCAATAAGGCACCCTGTGCAAGAACAATCATACAAGCAGTGGGTGTCATACGCAACGAGGATGAAAACAAGGGCTTATCACTCTTGATTCCTGCCAACCGTGTTCACTGGAACACACCACTGCTACAGAGCTAACACTGCCAGGAGCAGAGCCTGTGTCTCAGCAGTGGTGTTTGCCTCAGCACCATTATGACCCAAACTTGAGTGTACAATTTATTTCAAAAGTTTGAAATATAAAAACCCTTTAAGCTATAATAGTCTGCCATTATAGACTATACATTTTATATTCTAAACTTTTAGATCTACTTACATGTACACACTGGCTTGTAGATTACTTTCACGATCCCACCGAGCCCACATGTGTTATGAGAGGAGGTGTCCAGTCTCCATAGCACACAAACACAGCAACGCTGTACACTGTCCAGGGAACACTGGTGCAGGATTGAGACATCAGGCACAAACAAAGCAAGGTCGTGTTTCTTTTTCCAACAGGAGAACAGGATGCCTCTCGCTGAATCATCCAGGTCCTAAAAAAGCAACTGATGTTCTCAGGAGTAAAGGGTATTTGCTCCAAATCCCTCCTCACCATAGTAAACAATGACTAGGTAGAGGGATACTGAGCACTGGACAATTGTGGTCTTTACTGATGTTGATGTTACCACTAGTATTTTAACTGAGAGCATTAAGAGACATTTGGCTTTTACTCATTTGTGAGGGTTTTGAAAACATGAGGCAAAAGGCCTCGTTCACAAAAGAATAATCTGTCAAACTACGTCAAACTTCCATCTCTTTTGTATAAGTGTGTTCAAGTTTTGCTGTAGCCTACACCTTCTACTTAGACATAATAGTTCTAAAAAACCAGCTTGTAGCCTAACACTCAAAAATGAACAGTTTCCTAATTATAATAACTGACAACACAATGCTAATCTCATCACTGTGAAAATACTTTCACAGACAGAATGTGTTAGATGACTAGTCGGCGAAATGTCAACCATTTGTTCTGAAATTTGAACCACCATCCCATAAATAAAAATGAATTGAAGTTTGCATAATAGTCTCATCAGTCTTGATGTCATATTTGTCATGCTATAACAGAATTCTAAATAAATGAATACCCTAAGAAAAGCAAGAGAGTGTACAAAGGTACATTCTCTGCTCACTGTGATGGAATAATTATCTCAAGCAAGTTTGATATGCACAAGTTGATTTGCATTGGGAACCAACAGCTCAAATACTGCCTGGGGGGTAGTCAATCAATAAACTGGGATGAATATTTTCTTGACAATGGATACTCAAGATTACGGCCATAATTCTGCCTCTAATCAAATGGCATCATGCAACAATTTAACATTACACAAGTACCAACAAGCTACAAGTATTTTTTCAATTTGTGTAATAATATTAATTAAGTTTTTTAATCAGTGTTTTAATTAATGTGATAAGACGCATTTAAAATGGTTGGAAATGATTGTTTGTTGTGTATTGTTAATAACCTTTAAAAACTTTATTAGTACTTTGTAATTGCGCGGTTGCCAGGTTGGTGGTGTTTTGTCTGGTTTTGTCATGGCGGATAGGAGGATGCTACCGTACAAACCTGGCAACTTTGACTATGCGCTGGATACAGCAGACAGTATGGCGGACAGCGAAAGTGATTTGGATACAGACGGGCTTGAAATAGCTCTGGACACATTGTGTGAGAGACACTGCAGCGACGAGTCGTCTCTAAAGAGCAAAGGCTATTGCTCTGGGTTTTGTGAGGTACGTTAGAGTCCATTTTGTTCGGTGCTCTCACTAGTCGGTGTCTGTTTATCGCTAACGCTACTAGCATTGCTAGCTAACGTTAGCCTCCAGACTAGCTCTATTTATTGTGTAGCCAAGTCGTGTAGCTAAGGCTGTGGCATAGCCCGTCAGAAACAGAACAGAAATGGTTAACAAAATGTAGATAGATAACAAACTGTGCTCCTGACTAGGTAACTTTATGTAGTGTTGTGTTTCCCCAGATATCTGCTTGACATTTGTCAGCGCCTAACGTTAGCTGTATAGCTAACGTTAGTTAGGTAAGCTAAGCTTATTAATGGTCTGAGGTTAACATACCATTGGTCGTCTAGCAACCTGTGCTTTGCTAACTATAGATTGTTATTACAAACTTTGTTAAATGAGGAAGCAAACTCAAAATATCCTGTTCTCAAATGCCAGTAGTTTAGACATGAATTGCCAGGTTTTAACTACAAAGTCACGAATGGGAAACTTGATATTAGCAGTCCGTTATCAGCAGTGAGTTAGTTAGTTAGTTAGTTTAAACACTATTTACAAGGCTAACTCAATTTAAGGTTAAACCACAAGACTGTGAAATCAGTGTGTGTGCCCCTGTTGAAATCATGCATTATCCTGAATTCACCCTAACCTTAACTATACACGCCAATTCCACTCTTCCATCTAAATGACTACACTACCCACAATCATTGTGGCTGGTCTAACCTTTCCTAGAGGTTCTGTAGCCATTGAGATATCAGGGTTATAGCATGACAACTGAAGTGTAAATATTACCAGATATCACATACAGAAAGCTCTATAGTTACAGAAACCAGACAATAATTTAGTGTGGACACAAGTAATGAATACCTTTTCTATTGCCATGATTCATTCTGTAGATTTAGCCTGAAATGTCTAACTTTGTAATGTTATGAGGCAGGTACTGCTGATGTAACACTCAAATCCAAGTGATTAGATGTAGTTTTGTACAATTGTTGTGGCCAAGCGATACTAATGTCCCTTAACAATTCTTTAACTTGCATTAATTTAAAAGGCAGCTGTTTATGAGGTGTGCTAAAGTGTTACAAAATGGATGGATGGATGGTTGGATGAGTTAGTGTTCAGTTTCCATAGTCATGGCACTGACAGTGACCAAATTAGACTGACATGACCGTTATCATCAGCACAAATAGCACTCAGCACAAATAGTGCCTACGTGATTGGCATATTACGAATGTCATTGTTTCAAAATATATAATTTAGAGTGATGAAAGAATAATTTCCCCAACTAGAGCCACCTGTCATATCTGAAATAAATACAGTCCAAACTGAATAGTCCAGTCCTCTAATCAGTTACCTCACTGCTGAAGGAGCATAGGGTTAGTAGTAGGTAATGTTTGACTGTTACTTTAGATTGCAACAGTAACAGTATTTACATTTTTTCCTACTTATCAAATGGTAGAATGCCCGCCAATCTACCATGCACTCGTGCAACAATGCCTCTGGCAACTGAAGCTACAATAGACTAGAATCCATTGTAGGCACATGATATGATATTAAGGTACCCCCACAGTGCACAGATAAGGTCGGGGCCTTATAAAAAGGTCGCAGTCAGGTGCCAGGCCAGAAGCATCATGCACCCAAGAGACACAGTGTTGAAAAAACTCAAGTATAGCAATGAGAATTGCCAAATGAGAGTGACCCCATGGTCAGCTTTTAATTCTAATTCACTTTCCCCTACCTCTCTGCACCTACCAAATCTGACTGTGTTGAGTTTTTTGGGGGTTTTTTTGGATAAGATGTTTAATTTGTAAATCTAAAAAGAAATTGTGATAATTAATTTTAGCTAGTTTACCTGAATTTCTGTGTTCTTCCTGCACAGTTGGTTGAGGAGTACACAGGACAATGGCAGGTTCCTCTCCCTCAGCTGAAGGTGCTGCGGACTGCACTCTGCAGTTTCACCAAAGCCACTGCTGCCTTCCCCGATGACTGTCAGCACATCCACTATGTTCTCAGCAGTATGGCCTTGTAA